CCTCACCACATGGTTTTCCTCTATAAAAGTCCCTGCAAGAGACAATTTCCTGGGGGGGAACTACCCGCTCACCCACCCCCCTCTCTCGGGACAGGAGCTTTCTTTCTCTCAATAAATATATTCTGCTCATTAAAAAAGAAAAAAAAAAAAGAAGAGGAGGCCTGGCCCTGGCTCAGTTCTTTCAATCACCGGTTCCGAAAAAAAAAAAAAAAAAAAAAATAGATCTTCTGGCAGCTGATATTTTTTGTGATAAACAATGATTTTCAGCTCAACAATTGCATTGGTTTCATTTTTTTTCTCTTTCCTAGTTCAAAAATTTATATTGGACACAATTTGCTTTTTTAAAAATAACATGTAGGTAGGCTGGCGAGATAGCTCAGCGGTCTAAAGCACCTGCTTAGGCAAGCTTAGGCAGGCGCAGGGGACTGCGGTTCAACCCCAGCACCACATGCCATGCCAGCCCTGCCTTCAGGGTGGGCTGAGCCGGCCAAATAAATAAATAACGTGTAACGTAACTCCATTTCTTCCTCTGGATCTATCAACTTCCAAAGCATTTGTGAGGAGGCATGACATCTGGATTGCTCAGAAGCAACAGCCACACTGATTATTTCTAGATGGTGACATTCTGAAAAGATCTGTTGCATTATTTTGCTTCATACTTTCCTATATTGCTTGAGTTCCTCAAAGTGAAGAAAAAAAAAATATATATATATATGTATATTTATCTCCACCCTGTAGCTGGTGCTGTACTACACTCCATCACATACAAACACCCACTTCATCTCCATCAAGCTTCACAATGAGAGGCATGGGACTGTCGCAACAAGGTGTGGAAGCAGTCACAGGAGAAATCACTCCCACCATGCTGTCGGCAAACCCACCACGAATTGGTGGTGCCTCAGAACAGACCACTTGGCCCCACGCCAGCTCCGCTGCCACTGTCCCTCAGTCTTATTCTCCTTCTCCACGCTAGAAATGCAAACTCTGATTGGCACTGACCGCTCAGCTTTTCACAATAAGTCACGATCACAGAATTTCAGGGTTAGAAAGAACCTCAAAGTTATGTAGTACACTGAGTCATTTTATGGATGGGGATTCTGAGGCCCAGGGAGATGATGAAATTTAACCGAAATCACACAGTGGCCTGGATTCCTGGCCTGGCATACTTCCTAGAAGGCAGACGAAAAGCAAAGACTTTGTAATTGTGCCATATAGGTTCCTGCTGCTTCTGAAAAGATCTCTTAGGCAATCAAGGTCCATAACTGGAACCTTCCTAAAAGGCTACCTTCCAAGAGAGTGGACTCCCAATGGAGCCGGGAGCTGGCAACACACTTAACTGGGGCGGTACCACCCCATAATCCAAAAGAAGTGTGGAGAGACTAGGAAGACACAGCAAGTGGAGAACACACGGCTGCTAAGCAACGCCTCAGGAAAGCGTCAGGACAGACAGGAAAGAGCAGGAGTGGGCCAGATAGCTCAGCAGACTAAAGTGCCTACTTAGGTTTGATCCCCACCGTGCTGTGCCAGCCCTCCCCGAGGGCGCGCTGAGCTAGAGAGTGATATTGGGCATGGTGGCGCATACCTATGACCCCAGCTCTTGGGAGGCTATAAACTGAAGAATCACTACAAGGCCAATCTACATAGTAAGACCCTATAGACCCTGTACACCCTGTACTAAATATATAAAATTAAAGTAAAAAGAGCAGGAGCACAAGGCCAGGATGTGGGGTGACGGCGAAGCAGCTAACAGCAAAGGCAGTGCTGAGAGAAAGCGGCAAACCCCTCCAAACGCCCCTCCAAAACAGATCCGAGCCTTATGTGGTGCTGTCCTGAACAAAAGCTCCAGAACCAATTCTCCAGGACAGCTTCCTGTGGCAGGAAAGCAATTCACCCTCCAAAGACGATGTGCTCCTCTGACCCCGCCGAGCCTACACGGCAGCACGGCTCCCTTCTCCCGAGAAGACTGACTCCACCCCCCGCAGCATTAGCCCACCAAGTAGCATTAGCAATCCTAGGACACAACCTGGAAACAGAGCAGCCACGCAACTGCAAGCAATAGGAGAGAAAGCTAAGCTGCAAGCTGCAAGGGCAGAGACTGCAGCAGGGACAGCAACGCCGGCCGCTCCGGAGGTCTGTCGGGCAGGGAGGGTGAAGGCGAGGCTTAGACAGGCCTGGGCATGTGCGGGGCAGGCAGGGAAAAGAGTCATGCCACGCGGCGGGCAACTCACCTCCATCTTGGCAACAAGGAGCAGCTGCTGTTTGATGCGCAGGAAAACGGAGTCGAAAGCCAGCTGGTGAGCCTGCTGGTTCAGGCGCGTCAGTGCAGCCCGGGAAGCAGCCAGCAGGTTGTGATTACCAGACCCCTTCTCCTAAGACAGAGGTGCAAGGGCCAGTCATCAGGCTCCTGATCTAAGTGTTGAAGTCAAACTTGCCCAAGACTCAGCAGGCGGTAAACAGCAGGGGGCTCCACGGAGCAGCGCTTCCTGGCCAGGCTGGGCGCCGGCCGCTGAGAAGCAGCTGAGTGGCAGGCCCTCTAGATCCCCGCAAGGGTGCTGAGCCAGAGAGCCCTGGAACACTTGCATACGTACACACGGGCACGAGAGCAGAACACAGGCACCTTTTTATTTTATTTTTTCATCTTCATGGTTACGATATTATTTTTTTTAATTGAATAAAAAATATTTTAAAAGGTTAGAAACAATACAGAATTTCACTAACCAACAGGAATTCAACAATGGTTGTTATACTGCATATTGCTGTCTTCAAATTAGTTGTTCAGATAGACACCTTTTTAAAAAAACCATGCTGGGGATACAACCCAGGGCCTCACACGTGCTGCACAACACTGCCACTGAGCTACAGTCCCAAGCACCTGTATCTTTTTGTTGTTGTTACCAGGGATTGAACTCAGAACCCTGGGCTTGCCAGGCAGGTGCCTATGCCACTGAGCTATCTCCTCAGCAAGAATCTGTATCTTTAATTCAGTTTTCTGGGTGATTCTGATGCATCTAGGACAATATGAGCTCATGGATTGGCAGTTTAGGAAAATTTAACTGGACTATTGCTTGGAGACAGACGAGGAGGGAAAAATAGATCCAAAGTTTCCCATTAAAAACAAGAATAATGGACAAAGCTCCACCTCCCAGGGAGGTCAGGTCAACCACACTGGCTACAAGCCAGCCCATGTGAGTTCTCAGGCACACAGCCTGAGAATACAGAGATGGAAAATGCAACCTTAGTTTTTCTATAATAAATGAACCGAGTACAACGGACATAAGTCAGATTAGCAATAAAGATTAACCGACTTGCTTTAACCTAATCTCAGAAGCATGGATGAACGAGTTCACAGAACTGCCTCAAGACATTCCTTGGTCGAGATCAAATGCAGACATTCGGTAGGCCAAGAGGCAGCGCACTGGGGAGACGCAGAGGGCCACCTCGAGCCTCAGCTAGTTACCACCAGCACTCAGGGCTCCCTGGGCCATTCCCAGGGAGCTGTGTGACTCACTCCATTTGTCTGAGGTTCTCAGAGATCTCACAGTTCAAAGGCAAAGTCACCTTACAGGCAACAAACAGACTTTAAAGAAAAGCACCTGAGGAGACAAATCACCCCCAGCCCTGCGCATCTCCCCCAGGGAGCCTGCCTGACCGCACGTGCTAGAGCCCACCACCTCCCTTGGGGAGGAGTGGCTCCTCCAACGCTGGGCAGAGCCCACTTGCATGGGTCCAGCCTGCCTGCGACCAGCATGTCTGGTCCCCTGCCTGCCACTTGGTAAAAGGGAACTGTGCTGCCCAGGGGCCCAGAGCTCACAGCTTACCCATCGTGTGGGCAAATTCAACGTGGACTGAGGTGCAACAAAGCCTTCCAACCACAGGGCAGGGCCACACTCTCCAACAGGGCTTCATCAGAACAAAGACCATCAATCAAAGTCCACCAGCTACCTCGCGTGGGTTTAGTTGTATTCGTTCCTTAAAACCCCACCACAAATGGGAAGCAGAGCAGGCCCCAGCGCAGCCCAGGCCCATGCAGAGCAGGCAGGCTCGGGGCTGCAGAGGGGGAGTGACAGCGAAAGGCCCTCGCTCGCTTGCTTGCAAGAATGCCATCTACCTGCGCTCATACCTTGAGGGTATAAAGCATTTCCATTAAGCTGGCGTACTCAGCAGGGTTATCTTTCTGGAGGTAATTATATTCCTGCCATGGGTTCTTGGCAGAGCTCTTCTTGTCTGTCAAGATGCTCTCCTGAAAGCCAGCCAGGCTCCGAGGGCTGTAGGAGTCAGTCAGATACTTCCCAGCAGTGGACAGAATCCTGCAAGGAAAGCAGAGACTGTTATGCCCTGAGCTGTTGGTGCGAGCTTCTTCCAAAGCAGTCTGCTTTTCCTCACCAGCTCATACGACGGCCTCACGAGGCACACTGGTGTTCCTAAGGAAAAGATGGTACCTTCTGTCATTTGAAGGAGGTGGCCTCGGTGTACACAAAAAAAGGCATTTTTATTCTTCTTTAACACATACGCCCCCACGAAGATGCCAACAGGACAGCCCCCTGCCCAGGGCAGCTCTGTCTATACCACCTGGAGCACTGCACACCACCCAGGTAGACTTCCTGGTCATACGCGCATCGCCATGGGGAACAGTCAGATGCCAGGTGAGCCGCTGGTACCTCAGCTACAAAGGTCCCTGGGGAAGAGTGACGATGGCCCCCACCCTGTGCCTCTTTACCCACAGGACGTACCCACCCTACATGGTGGGCTGTGTGGGGCCCCTGTTCCTCAGCACTGAGAAGTTTACCTTTGTGTCACAGGCACTACAGAGAGCTACTAAAAGGAGCTGTGCTTCCGGTTTGAAGAGAAAACCACCTAGGAGAGGTTCCCTGCTAATGGAAGCTTGGGCAGCTGCAGCTCCACTACGAGGAAAGAGGACAGCCACCCCTACACAGAGCCCTCCTTTTCTCCTCCCAGAGCTCCCTTTGGCCTTTGTCACCACACTTAAAATACGCACAGGATTATAGGAAGGGAAGAGGCACTACAACAAATCCTGAGGTAGCTCACTCCTTGACCCCCCTGTGTGAAATTTCTTAGGAACAAAATTGCTTTGGGTGCAGCACTTTCCTGGAAGCCCTCCTCTTGTCAAAGGAATGCCTGCCCTTGTCAACAGACCCCAGGGACACAGACTTCCTCAGAAACCACAGCTGACACCAGCGCTGTGTACCTCTGCCTGTAGTCATCGGAGGTCTGTCTCTTATGTAAGCTTGCTGCTTCTTTTGTCTATCAAACCACAGACTGTCCCTGCCACTTGCCTTCCCTACTTGTCAGAAGTTGCCTCCTCTCCCTCACCCTTCCACACTCCATTTCATCAGTCCTTCAAAGGGCTAGAAGAGTGATCTTTTCAAAAAGAAAAGGTACCCATTACTCAGGACAAAACTAACACCACCCAGGCATGGCGCACACGTCTCCATCACCTGGGCCTCAGACGCTGCCAGGCACCCCCACCCCAGCATCACCTGCCTTGCTGCTCCTCCAGGGTTTCCCTGATCACAGGCCCTCCCCTGACACGCTCTCCCTCCTCCCTGTGCACCTGGGGAAGCCTGCTTCTCCGTCAGGATACACCCCCAAACACCCTCCTCCCTCACAGCCTCCCTGAAGCCCCAGGGGAGCTCTTGTCCTCAGCACCCGCCGGCCTCCTGCCTCTGCTACGCACACACCACATGGTCTCACTTCATCCCCACTGGACCACGAGGACAACACACGGAGCGCTCTGCACCACTGAGCTCCTAGCACCCGCACAGTGCCAGGTACATGGCAGGCACTCAGGAAAAGTTTATTAATGATCACTGTCCCTGGGCCCAGCGGCCAGAAAGTCAGGCCAACCTAATCCCTGCCTCGGAGGAGTCGGCTCTCCCATGGAGGCCTACTGCAATACATGCTTCTGCCTCAGGGAACCTGACCCCCTACGCCACCCTGCCGTCCATGCTGAAAGCAGCTAGCTACATCGGCAATGCTCTGAGTGGTAGATGCTGTAACTTAAGATGCCAGAATAGACGCAACTCCAGCCCCAAGAGCTAATGGCCTCTTGTCCTAGCGTCCTTGTCATTCAGACATCACTAGGGGTGCGTCCTTAGTGTCTGGTCTCTTACCACATGCATGACTGCTGTTGGTGCTACTACTAAACCTCACAGAGCACTTGATATCTTTCCAAAAAGGGCCTCCTTCTTCCTGTACAGGGCTCTAAATCAGGATGAGGATATCACGTAGGCACGCACAGTCTTGGCCCTCCCAGAGCTCTGAGATTAGGGCGTTCGGCGGGTGCCGGCACGCTGATGCCTGTGCAGGGGAACGCGGGCGCAGGGGGGGGCTACAGGTCCCCGTTTCCTCCACTTGCTTCCTTTTCAAGGCAGGTTATTACCCACTCCTCAGCCGCAGGAACCTCAAGTTTGTCTAACGAACTGTCCCACGCAGACCCTTCCCTGGTAAAACGTGTCTGGGCTTACAATGATAAAAGACGTCCCAAGTTGAAAGTATCACTATGTCCGACATGCATCTGACACTCGGCCTTCTGGACACCTTCGCTCAGCAGCACGCAGGAGGTTGTGGGGAAATCTCTAGCCCAGGAAACACAAACGTCCCAAATTCAAAGGACGGTTTCTCCCGGATGTGTCTCCCTGCTGTGCCCTCATGAGACTAAAAAGCCCGAGGCAGGCCCGCCATAGACCAAGGACTGTCTGCCCTGGTGTTACCACCCGAAGCAGAAGAGGCACGGCCACCGCCACCACCCTTAGCTCGCCCAAGGACCAAGGCAGATCGCGCGGAGGAGGACACCCGCCCAGCCCTGCTTTACTCAGCACGTCAATCACTAGACCATCCCCTCTGCAAAAAGGCGGTTTGGGGAGCCCAGTCCCAGCTTGCTTGCGCTTTACCTCTGAAGCCCTCTGGAGCATTCTAGCAGCTGCCGGGGGCCTGCCCCCAGGGAGTCGGGGCTCTGCAGGTGAGACTGCCGCGAGATAAGCTCAGCTCTAGAGGCGGCCTGCCTGCTGCCACACCGCAGTGCAGCCTCCCCGGCATGGTGCCGGCCCCCTCAGACGGGGCTTCCAGGCCAACATGGCCCTTCAGAGGCTGGGCTGGGTCCGCCCAGCTGCTCGTCCTGCCACGGCAGGCTCAGCCTTCTCTCTGGACTACAATGTGCAGTTAGAAGGGCTCCCTCTTTGTCCGTCACCGCTCCATCCACCTTCCTAACCATCTCTGTTCCTACTCCTTAGAAAGGCAAAAGAAGAAACTGAGAAAATCTGCATTTCCTGGTGAGAAAAGAAGCCTGAAAAGTAGTGAGCCCTGGGTGACTCAGGCCATACCGGGCTTCAAGTCAGGGCCTCAGACAGTTATTTCTGCAATTTTTTAACAACAACAAAAAATCACCTACACCTAAGTCTGTGCCTTAGTAGGAGGATTAGTCAGTTCACATGAAGTCTCTCCTACCAGAGCTCAGTCAGTGCTGAAGGGACAGGAGTGGTGGTGCAACCCTGTAATCCCCATGCTGTGGGAGCCCGAGGCAGGAGAATCCCAAGTTCAACCCCAGCCTGGGCAACATAGCAAGTAAGCAAGCCCCTATTCTAAAATAAAGGGGGTGGCTGGGCGTAGAGGCCCATGCCTGCAATCTCAGCCGAGGCAGGAGGATCAGTGCGAGCTCAAGACCAGCCTGGGGGGGCTGGTGAGATGGCTCAGTGGTCGAAAGCACCTACTTAGAAAGAGCTTAGCAAAGCACAGGGACCGCGGTTCAATCCCCCAGCACCACATGCCAGCCAGCCCCGCCCCCTGGTGGGCTGAGCTGGCCACACACACACACACACACACACACACAAATAAATAAATAAAAATTAAAAAAAAAAAAAAAAAAAGACCAGCCTGGGCTACAAAGTGAGCTCAAGGCCAGCGTGCACTGCACGGCGAGACTGTCTCAAAAAGACAACCAATCGATCAATCAATAAATGTATGTATGCATGTGATGGCTCAGTACAAAAGGTCTAGAGGCAATCTAATTAATAAATTTAAAAAGTGGGAAGGGAGGAGACTCTCAGTAAGATTATTTCTGGGGGAGAAGGATTTTTAGGGTACAATTTTCAGTTTTTATTTTGAATACTTGTGAATTATCTAGATTTTTAAATGAGCCACCACTGATTATGAAAACAACACGCCACGCGGCTTGCACCACGCTAGTGCTGAAGCTGCGCCTCTTCCTACCAGCCGGCGACTGCCCCAGGCCCCCAGCCCCGCAGGGTCCCCTCACTGCGCACATGCGCATGTGGGGGGGGTTGGGGGCCGGGGGGGCCGCTGGCGCCGTTCACACTATCCCCGCACAGGCTGCTGTGTGCCCGTGCTGCTCAGCTGCAGTCAGCTGCTCCTACTGTCCCGCGCTGCAGGACCGCCCACAGTGATAGGAACAATCTGAAAGTCAACTCTTTGGGCACCACTTATTAAAGAGGCTATTTGTCTTCCAGGGAAGGTGCTCTGCTCCTTTGTCAAAGAGGAAGTAAGTGTGTCTGGGGCCGTGCCTGCATCTTCTAGTCTGTCCACTGATCTTCCAGTCGGGTTTGTTGCCAGTACCACACATATTTTATCAGGGTAGCTTTGTAGTACAATTTCAGGTCAGGGATTGTGATGCCCTTTGCCTTCCTTTGTGCTGGCTCCAAATTTTTAAGTAAAAAATTTTTAAAAAGACTCGGGATATAACTCAGAGCTAAAGCCGTGGTTCAAGCCCTGGCACACAACAACAGAGGACTGCTGCTAGCTCCACAGTTCCTCAGTAGCAGAGTCGGCCGTGCTGAGGAAGGCGGGAGTGAGCGACAAGAAGGAAACACTGCAAGTGGCGTCCCTGCGGGGAAGCTGCCCAGATGGGGCCAAGCAAGGCAACAAAACACCTAGCAGTATCAGAGGAAAGAAAGGGGACAGAACAAACTCTTCTTTGGGACTCCCTTCTGCAGCACCTAACTCTGCTGCAGGCCCAGGCAGGCACGCATGGGGTGAAGCCCGAGGCTGTGGGACGAGCGCTCCTGCAACACCCTTCGGTGGGACCACGTGAGTTCTGGGCGCAGCCACTGAGTCACAGTCTGCCGGAGCTCAGCCCGCTCACCCCGGAACAGCACGTCCTGTGTCCTCCCTCTGGCTGAGACCTCCGCAGCAAGCCGAAGTCGCGTGACCACTGCCAGTGCCCTGCCCTTTTCAGAGACTCAATAAATGTTTAATGATGACAATAATGACACCTTGAATCCAGGTACAGGCAGTCCTTGAGCCCTGTGGCTTTCAGATTTGACCATCTGCTGCCCTCGCTGGAGAGTGTACTGAACTGTGCTCCTCCACCCGAGAACTCCGGACGGGAGGACACTGAGCACACCGACTACTCCTACCTGTTTGCTAGCTGCTGCTCAAAGTCTCCACACTGCCGCAAGAGCTCTCCACAGGTGGCTATTATCCTAAAGAAAACAAAAAGCACTTCATGTTCAAGTACCAGGAATGTCAACATTTACAGGTCAAACATTGTCTCATTCATAAAAATTCTAACTATTTGCTCCTTTTGGTGGTGCTGGGTTCTGGGAAAGTTGCAGACTGTTTGCCAGTCCAGCTGAAATGTTTTACCAACTAGCAATTAATGGAAAAGATCCCTTCCACTGTCTCCTGGGTCACTATATCCCTGCTATGAACCACAATTCTACCTACCACCACCTCAAATAATTTTACATTTCCAAACTAGTGAGTTTTATCTTTGTGAAGATGTATTGGGAATACTTTGTATCTAAATTTTAAAATCAACATTTATTATTTAATATTTGCTAGATGGCTATTTGTAAGATATAAAAAAAACTGCCTTGAGATTAGAAGTATCTCTCTCCCTCGGATCACAGGAAAGGCAGAGGACTGATTCATTTGTTTCTCAGGGAAAACCCTCAGTGGTCACCACATCTACATTTAATACTTATTTCACCTTCAAGTGATTTTACGCCAGGAGTCAGACTCTAGCTACGGAGCCCTTCAACACCAAGCGCACAAGGTCAGGGCGAATCCAACCATTTAAAATATCTGAAGCCTCATTAACTTTTAACTTTCTCTAAGAATGCCTGTCATCACCCGGGTATCTAGGCATTCCATCAGAAGAAAGCTTTATGAGAAGGTAAAATATTCCACTCACGCAGAGGCAATGAACACAAGACTCACGCGGGGCATCTCCTGCCTGCAAAAGCTCCGCACATGACAGAGGGTACACTAAGCACTGACAGCACTCAATTTCATTAGAAAATACAAATCCAGAATGAAGTCCATGAGGCGGGCATCGAGACGGTCCCAGGGGGCTGGGCCTACCCTGGCTGCCTTGCTGTGTGCTCGCGTCACCGACAAGTACCACGGGCCAGGGCCCAGGAAAGAGGCTAAGTGGGGTGGGCCGGGCCCACAGCTCCGCCGCACCGCACCTACCTGGCAAGCAGAAGGCCATGAATTCAATTCCCAGAACCAAAACAAAAGAATCTAAGTGGGTGATACAGCGGAACATAGGCCCCTGAGGAATGGTTTGAAGGACATTCCTGCATTTCCTTCTATCCTGGGAGCTGACAGGCCACTCGCAGCAGAGAGAAGCACAGCACACCAACGAACACAGGCCCTTTCACAGCACTCGTACCTCACTGAAGGAGACGAGGCCTGCGCAAAGAACTCCTAACCTATTTTATGAGCAGAGGACTCTTGGTGCTTCACTCTTACTGATGGTGGGTCTGGCGTTTTGTCTACTGGCTTGATTTTAGAATCTAGAGGATTAGCTTTTAGATTTCATTTTTTATTTTATTTTTAAGATTAACTTTTTTTTAAAGGTAATGAAGGGGGAAAATGAACATCCTGTGAACACATCGGCTGTCTTGCGTGATGCCTGCCACAGCAGGCGCCTAGGGCCAAGCTGCAGCTCCAAGTACCTGACGGAGCTCTGAAAAGCAGTCCAGTCCTCCTGAAAAAGGGCGCCGGGAGGAACGTCATCCAGCCTGCATTTCTTTCGCACTGACTGGAGAGTACTGGTGAAATCAGACACATACCTAGGGAGACAGGAAACAGGACGCAAGTGTCACACAGATTCCTCCATTCTAAAGGCACCTGGGATTCACAGCCTTAGACAAATTACTAATCCCTCTGTCCCTCTGTCCACCTATAAATTTCCAACCATGAAAAAGTCTTCTTTATGAGGCAAAACCACCTTTGTCACCAGCAGGGTAGCTGGAACAGTTGCTTCAGACGAAGCAGAAAGGCAGCTGCAATGAGCAGGTCAAGATGGCCTGGGAGAATCACCACCCAGCCCACAGTTAGTGACAGACGGTGACCTGGAAGTGAGAGGCCAGTTCTGACACCGGGGTACCTCTGCAAACCAACGCCCTGAATTTTAGCCATGGCAGATAAATCACAGCTCGAAGACGGAAGGGCACAACTTTCGAGGGTACCAGAAGACCCTGTTCCATCTTACCTGCCCTGCTGTAAGATTCTTCGTTGTGTGTTTGTTTAATACATGCAGCTGCTGCAGCAAGGAGCTCTGCGATAACGAGGCCCGCGCCACCGCTGCTCCCTGCCGTGGCCCAGGAGTCAGTACACACAGGAGATCCCCCAAGCAGGTGACAGAATCGCAGGGAGCCCTGGGAAAGGCTCCACCAGCCCTGGCCTCAGCTATGTTTTGTAAATGTAATTAATGATGGCTTCTGTGTGACCACATGAAGTTGTTGGGAGTCATAAGGTTGCCTGACTGAAAATGTCTTAGAACATGAACAAATCAGGGCATGCCCTTGGAAGGGTGTGATGAAGAAGACGGAGGGGCATGGTGTCCCCCGAGAGCGGAGGACACCTGTGAGACATGGGTGTAACAGCAGCTGTGTCCAAAGCTGCCCTGCCCCAAGCTCCAGGCTGGGGCAGCAGGCCATGCCGGATGAGCCTGGGCCTACAAAGTGTGTGGAGGCAAAGAAAGTGACTCAAAGGCCACATGGGAGGAGAGACTTCCTCAGGCCGCGCCAGGAGCTGCGACTCTGCTGAGCCCTTGATGAAGGCCACAGGCTGCACAGCAGGAAGCCACACAGCCAAAACCCCGGTGTTTTGGGGAGATGCACGGAAGTCCTGAGGACAGACAGGCAATGGTAAGAAACAGAGTTTTGCTTTAGGTGTGCGAGGTTAAACAACCATGTCACCAACTGTGCAGCGTAACCAGTATGCGCAGGAAGAATGTGCCACCCTTCGATCCCAGTGCTGCAGGAGCTCCCAGGACAGAGCTCGCTGGGGGGTGCTGGGGGTATTTCATGACCCTCCAGCCCAGAATTCAAAATGGGTTTACCATGAAACCTCAGATAAAAGTGTCGCTTCTGTCCACTATGCCTGGCTTCAGGCCTTCCAGTTCAGTCTCATCTCCAAGCACCTATCACATACGCTTTCGCTTCACGCGCACACCTTGTGCAAAGGGACATTATCGTCAATGACTCAAAGCAGCAGCGGGCAGCCACGGCGACCCGCCCGGCCCCACAAGGAAGTGCGAGGCCCGGCTGGCCCAGGCCACCCAGCGGGGAGCCTTCCTGTCCAGGGAGCTGTAAGCCTCTGGCTGCACCCCCCCTCCCTGGCCCAGCTGCTCCACACTCCCTACAGCCTCTTCTAACGGCTGAACAGCATCCAGCCTGAGCCCAGCTCACGCTAACATCAACCTAATTTCCCTGACTAGTTTTACAAACATGAACTATTTTGCTAACTTCCAAGTCTTCCCTTCAAAGGAAGATAACTTGATTTTTACATATCCTAATACACAGTTTGAATTCTTAATGTGGATCTGTGTTATTTTTAAACAAAGTAATCAAAATACTGGAAGAAAACCTAATGGTAAAAGTCTAACAATGGCTCAGAGAAACAGGAGACAGAGAAAGGAACGGCCCTAAGAATGTCCAAAGCCGTGGATGCCTATAATTCCAGAACTCTGAGAGGTGGAAGCAGGAGGATCACGAATTTAAGCCCAGCCTGAGTAACTTAAGAGGTTTAGCAAGATCCACAATAAAAACTAAAGAGGTCTGAGAATGTAATTCAAGGGCCTTGGGTTCAATCCTAGAACTGAAATTTTTAAAAAAAGTTCAAGACCTCATCTTGCATAGTAGAGAACTGAGAGGCAATAAAGTTGGTAAACAGAAATCTTTTTTGGCTTACCAGGAACAACTAGCAGAACTAAAATTTAGCAGATTGTCCAAAGTTTGTTATTTCCGAGAAGATTAAAAGTACACAGGAAGGGAGGAAGAAGGATTTTTAATGCTGTTTTCACATGGGAGGATTATTTCTAAAAGCAGTATCTCTGCTCTTTTATAATAAAATTTCTAAATCTGAAGAAAAAATGGCTTTTATTCAAATAATGTTGATGGCAGAGGAAGAAAAAGGTGAAGCTTTTTCTTTGCGAGGCTTGCTGCTGAGGGGGCATTTCATGGACACGCGCCTGCGCTGCCTGCTCCTAACGCTGCTCCTTGCCAGCATTCCTGGCCTGAAGACACCCGAGAGCCTGGGCCCAGAGCCCTGCCAGGTTGTAGGGGAGAGCTGGTATTTCTGGAACAACAAGTGCTCCCTATACTTCCTAGAGCGAAACAGCATCAGTCCAAGGAAAGAGATCTCGAGACCGCAACTCCATTTTGGAACAAACTCTCAGAGGGAGGCCCTAGAGAGTGTAAGAATTCACTTTTGTCTGTAAGCTGGAAACTGGAACATACAACTTCCTGCGGCCTGCACACTTCAGGCAATTCGGTCAGAAAGGCCAGCCTAAGGAGCCAGGAAGATGGCTCAGTGGGGAAAGTGCTTCCCTGGCAAGTGCAAGGGCCTGAGTTCAGTCCCTGGTTCCGCCAAAAAAAGAAAGGCAGGCCAGCCCTATACTGCTTTTCTTCTTGCTGGCAAAATGTATTTTAACTTTTCTTTTGCTTTCCTTTCTGGAACTGTATGTGTACGTGTGCGTGCGTGCATGCGTGTGTGCATGCACGTGGGCAGGCCCGTGGCCCTGGGGATTGAACCACGGCCTGATGCATGCTGAGCACACCCGCCACCACTCAGCCACGCTCCCAAGTCCTTCACAAATGGCTTTATTGTGATACACTGTAATCCACGCCCCACACAATGCACCCATTCTAGACTGCCTCCCAGGAGTTTCCAGAGTGTTCCCAGCACTGTATAACCACCATCATAACCAGAACATTTTCATCATCTCAGGAGAAACCCACATCCTTTGACAGTCATCCCCTCCCTCTAAATTCTCCTGGCACCAGGCAAACTTGAAGCTTTTCATCCCCCATCTATAGATGCGCCAGTCCTGGACCCTCTGTATAGATGGAATGATAAACAAATGGTCTTTTCTGACTGGTTACTTTTACTTAGCATAATGTTTACATAGCTTTTTACTTAATATTTTAATAACACAAGAAATACAAATTCATGCTTATTGATTTAAAAATAAAAAATGACAAAGGATCTGGAGGTATAGCTCAGCAGTAGGCTCTGGCCTAGCAGGCACAAGCCCCAGGTTCAATCCCCAGGACTGCCAAAGGCAGAAGAAAGACTTTTCTTATGACCACCACCCCACGCCTTCTCCATCTCTCTAAAGACAACTACTGTTGTGAGTAATTTGCCTGGCCTAGGGCTCAACACTTTTTTTTCTGTTAAAGTCCAGACAGTAAATACTTTAGAACTTCAAGTCTACTCTGCCTTCACGATGAGATGGGAGTCAAAGAACACAGCTGAGTACGGCTGTGTTAAAAAAAAAAAAACAAAAAAAACTTTATTTATACAAATGCAAACACATGGCAGATAGGCATGACGGTACATACTTGCAGTTCCAAAACTGTAGGAAGCTGAGGCAAGAGGATCCCAAGTTTGAGCCCAACTTGCCTGGGTAACATAGCAACTTATCTCAAAAAAAGATTGGGGATGGAGCTCTGTGTGAAGGTCCTGGGCTCAATCCCAGTACCAGGGAAAAAAATGAAAGGAATAAAAAATAGATGGCAAGCAGCACTTACGTAATTTGGGACATGGAGTCATAAGTGAAACAGCACGCTGTTTGAAAAAAGAGCGAGTTGAACTGGCAGAGGGAGTCAATTTGGAAGGAAAGGTGTGGTTAGACTTTGTCACTGAAGACGACAAGCGGATTCTTGGTGACACTGAGCCTTTCCACAATACTACCATGGAGGAAATGCCATGCATGTGGCTGACTTAGTAATTCCCAGATGAGACAGTTCTGCATGCCATGCTCGCTGCTGCTGAACAGGCAGTCACAACAAGCACGGTGCTTCTCTGGGAAGTTGTGAATCTCGTCTCAGTGCTCATAATGGGTCAGAAGTACAGATTTTGATGGCAAAGAGACATTAGTCGTGAGCTCTTGTGAGGAAAGGCACCGGCTTTATCCTCTTTAAACTGTTGGAGTGGGTACAAAAGATGGGGTCTGTAAAATCTTTCCTTCTTAGAAATGTATTTCCTAGCTGTTGAAATGGCTGTATTAGATGTTCTCTATCATTTGATAATATACTTGTGGACTAAAAGATGTAAGTGCCATATAAAATCAGCCAATTATGTTAAACTAGTATATCGGCCTTTATTGTGTTTGTGTTTAGCCTGACTAGAAAGGCCTTTAAAATGGACTTTTTTTAAAAAGAAAGTATTTGATTGCATTTTGTTTTGGTATTGCATTTACTCAGTAACCATTTAATTAGTGCTAAGTGTGAACTGACCCTGTCGCTAAGCCTCAGCAAGCAATCATATCCTAGGTAGGGCGAAATCCCCAGTAAAACTGCCATGTTGCACATGTCCTAACGAAGTCTGAATGTTAAATAAATTGTATACTCACTTAAATTTTTAAAAAAAGGGCCGGGGAGATAGCTCAGTTGAATAAACACTTGCCCGGCAAGCACAAGGTCCTGAGTTCAATCCCCAGTACCGAGAAAAAAAAGAAAAAAAAAAGATGTAACCTATGAGTTATAGTTTGCCCACAACTATTAGTGTATTTAATAATAAACTATTAAAGATATTATTAAAAAAAAAAGACCTATGAAAAGGTCAGCATTCCTGGTTGTTTCATTCTGTGAAAAAACAATCACACCTACTGGTTCCTACATGGCCTACGGCTGTCCCTGAGCTGCAGAGGCCTCCGTCACCACAGACACCAGGGCCCGCAGGGTCTGCAATAGTACCCGCCTTCTGCAGAAAAGGCTTGCTGAGCTCTGCTGCAGAAAACACACGGCAGTTTCTGTACATTCTCTCTACACAGTATCTTACTGCAATGTGCTGCTTTTTCCACTTACCATGCTTTTTACACCCACCCATAGCCACACACGTAGATCTAACTAACACTTTGCTACATATGACCCCTTCCTATGAACTTATCCTGCTATTCAGCCACGGCCTAATGGGCAGACAGGTAGGTAGCTTCAAATGCCCCACTTCTGCCCAGAGCGCTGCAAGATCATCTAAAAGGCACCCCTTTGGGCTCCGGTGTGCTTCTCGGGGTCCACAGCAGGAGTTTCTACCACGACAGACACTGCCCAGGCCACTCCCCCAGGCTTACTTGGCGAAGAGGGACTTCAGAGCAGTCAGCAGGCCGCAGACCCCCAGGCCATTGGTGAATCTGGCACATCTGTCAACAGCTGCAGACGCCAGGCCAAAGAGCTTGCTCACGGAGTGGCTCAGCTCCTGCACACAGTCGATCACTTCCCCACGCTCCTGGGCACAGAGCACACGAGCAAGAGCCATGTCAGACTCCAGCCCCCTGAGAGACGACATCCCGGGTGTGCCGCCTGTTCTCTCACGTGTGGCAAATCACTAATGGGACACCAGCAGCACTGTCCCCAACTGTAACAGTTCTAGACCCTGAGCTGAGCGGGGACACTGCATGGTCAGCAACTCCCTGGAACCTTCCGGCAGAAAAGTCGGACCAGAGCCTGGATCACCCTTGTATTTTTCACCTCTTCCCTCTTTTCCCATGATTAATAAGATGGAGCTCTGCCCTCTGGCTCTGGAAGTGGGACTCAAATCCCCCATATCACTCTCTCTCAAAAATGTAGTAGAAAGAAAATGCTTCTTTCAGGGGCAGGAATGTGCCTGAAGGGAACAGGCTTTCTAGGTACAGCCCTAGGAAACGTGGAAAGGTTCTAAGCACAGCAAGAGCAATTCTGACATGTCTGCTCATGACATGCTAGAAAGCCTAAACGACTTGAAAACAAAATACTCTTTGGAACAGAAAGGGCCTTCCTGGTGCCCACACAGCATAGCCATGGGAGCTTCATTCCCGAGTCTATTTCATAGTAAATCAAAGAGATACCAGCTTAGGGCGCCTAAATTTCAGGCTGTTGTTTTGCTAGATTTTGCCAATGTCCAATAGGGACTTCATTTCACAGGTGGAAGACAAGAGCCCCGAGACACTTAAAGGCGCCGCCTTTGTTTTCGGCCCACTGCATCCCAGCCCTGCCAGTCTTGGCCGGGGCCAGCACTCGGCCTGCTCCCTACATGAGGTGGCAGCGCTGCGACATTACCAAGGGCACGGCGCTGATCTGGATGAGAAGGTTGCTCTCCTCCATGTCGCCGTACCTCAGCTGGTAGGGCTTGTACGGGCTGTACACAGCATCCACCAGTTCCACGACCTTCACCATGTTGTACTCCTCTGTGAGGAACCAGAAATGCAAAACAAAAGTGAGTGGAGAATATGAAACTGGCAGCTGGAGAGCTGCAGGCGAGAGGCACTCCACCACATTTCCAGCAGTGACGACGACTACTGAAGGTGCCTTTATCGTACGTGGAAGCTTCTTCAGCCAGCACGTCCGCAAACACCCAAAAGGACCCAGCCTAGTGCCTGTGAGCTGACCGTACTACTACAGACACGGCCTCCCTCACCCCACAGGCATCAGCCAAGAGCCCCTTCAAGTGAAAACTCCTGTCAGGGTCAGGCTGAAGAAGCGCAACAGGGACAAGCTTCTCTAGGAGGAACAGTTTCCTTTCCAAGTACTCCTCAGGCTAAAAAACGAGAGTGCCCTCACATGGGGCATCCCCCAAATTTCTCTTGTTTGTATCCAGAATGTAACTGCCCCTATTCCAAGCATGGCAATCGACATCTAAGAATCATCCCAAAGAAATGCACAGATCTGCAGACAGACGGTGTACACTGAAGGGTGTTCACAGATCCAGTGCCAGGATCAGAGTTTTGGAAATCTGAACAGAGTAGGGGAAACAGAACAGCCTAAGCAGTTTCCTTATGTCCTTCCAGTTCCCGCCAATGCACTCTATAATGAAGAAACCAATAGAACCCCACTCACAGGACCACCCTGCTGGCAATTTCCAGGGACTTCCCAAAATCTTTTCTCAAGCATGCACAGCCCTGAGGCTTCTCCTCGTGAAGAGTAAGACAGTGGCTATGGAGAGGAAAAATGGGCCGGGGTGGAGCGCAGCATGTGCAGCCCTGGCCTCCATCCCCAGCGCCTCAGAAATGCTTGCCAGTGACGAACCTCGCCTGCTAGCAACAGTCAGGTATCCGCGCCTCCTGCATGCAAAGGGAAGCCCGCATGGCATCAATGCAGCCTTCCTGAGAATAAGGGAAGCGCGGGGCAATCCAGAATGTGGGACATCTCCTAAGAATCGCTACCCCCTTATCTCTACATGTCAATGCCAAGAAAGACAAAACAGGGGCCGGGGAGGTGGCTCAGTGGAATAAGCGCTTGCCTGGCAAGCACAAGGGCCTGAGTTCAATCCCCGGTTCCACCAAAAAAAAAAAAAAAAAAAAAAAAAAAGAAAAGAAAAGAAAAGAAAAAGAAAGACAAACGCTATAAAATGACTGGGATTAAAAGAGACACAGTGACTACATGCGAGGCACGAATCACACCTGGAAGCTGAGGTGGTAAAGCAGCTACACAGGTGCATGGAGCCAGGCATGGCGGGCCCAGCAGCAACCCCTGCCCTCTGGGAGACCAAGCCAGGACGACTGCAAGTTCAAGCTCAGCCTGCACTGCACAGTGACTCAGCAAGGTCCTGTCTACATGTCCAACATCAGAAAAGGGCTGGGACGGAGCCCAGTCAGAAGCCTGGACTCCATTCTCGGTACCCAAGGAAAGGAAGGCAGGGCCGTGGAACTGCAGCATCTGAACAGACCGCACAGCACGGCACAGCACGGCAGCGTGCAGTCAGCTAGGCTTCCCGAGCGTGATGGCAGCAACAGGCCCTGCTACAGACACCCCGAAGCACACAGACGACACCTGCACTCAGACACAGGTCTGCCCACAGTCAGCCGAAAGGCTGTGCTTGTTTTTGTACTTTAGGGAAGGGTCTGCAGGGTGTTCAGGGCCTCACCACATAGACTGGACTCCTGTGATCCACCTGTTCACAGCCTCCCAAGTGCTGGGATTACAGGCGCGCACCACCTTGCCCATCTCCATTGCCTCTCAGCGCGCCCCAGCGCGGGGCCAGCACAGCAGGCCTGGGGATTGAACCCCCAGTGCTTGCAGGCACTTTAATCTGCTGAGCTACTTGGCCGGCCCTCGAAATGCTATTCTAGACAAATTTAAACTATGTTTTGCTTTCCTTTCATGTTCAATAAGTTCTATAATAAATATAGGGGCTGGAGAGATGGCTCAGTAGAATAAGTGCTTCCCTGGCAAGCGCAAGGGCCCAGTTCTGCCAAAAAAATAAATAAATATACATTGCCCATTAATTTAAAAACTCAACCTAAATTAGTTTCAAATTCTACGTTATAATGTAAAATTTATATACTATATATGTGTATATATATATATACACACACTTTGGGATTTTTTTTGTGGTACCAGGGATCAAACTCCTAAGGTAAGGACCTTATGCTTACCAGGCAAGTGCTTATAGCACCGAGCTATCTCCCCAGCCCTATTACTGTATGTTTTAAATGACAGCATGTACATGTGTTAACTAATAAAATAACAAAAAGTGGTTTTATGGGAGTTTGTTTTTGTCTTTTTGACACAGGGTTTCAGTTCAGTCTGGCCTCAAACTCGGAGAGAACCGCCTGCCTAGGTCTCCTGAGTGCCGGGATTACAGGCGTGCAGCGCTGTATCTGGTTTATATACATGATTTTCATGATACAGTTTCCAAAGTTTCTAACCACTAAAGTACAAATATAAAATAATATGTCATCAATCATCTGAACACCTGACAATGAAGAAGAATGAAGAGTCACACCCTCGCTCACAAGTAACAGGTATAAAAACAGGCAGCACCACGCCCGTAACGTCAGGACCCAGGAGGACCACCACCCCGAGTTCAAGGCCATTCTGAACTATACAGTAAGTTCAAGCCAGCCTGGAACGTGTAGTAAGACCCTGCCTCAATAAAAGCCAGCAGTGGGAGGCAGAAAGGGCAAACATGACAAATATCTTTTACGGGTTTATTTCTTAGCTACTATAATTCTAAATTCATCCTAAGAAATAATCACAGCTGTGTAAAAAATCTAATGACTAAGACAGTTCACAATAGCTTTATAGGGGCTGGTGAGACAGACGCATAAGCACCTACCCGGCAAACGCAAGGTCCCAAGTTTGATCCCCGTCCCCACATGCCGTGCCAGCCCCAGAACACTGGGCGCGCTGTGCAGGGCATGGCGGTGCACGCCTGTAATCCCAGCACTCAGGAAGTTAGGAGAGGAGGACTGCTGCAAGTTCAAGACCAGCCTCGGGGCTACAAAAGTGAGTACGAGGCCAGCCTGAACTGCATAGCAAGACCCTATCTCAAAAAAATAATCATTTCATAATAGCGGCTAAAAATTATGTCATACTATAAAGCAGTTGTTAAAAATCACATCATAGGATAAATTTAATGACATAAGAAAAGATGTGCTATTTTGAGTAAAGAAGACTATAAAATTGTAACCACCAATATTTTGCACAATATATTGTATACATTATAACATATATACATTTAGTATAAGATTATGTAATATAAAATTATGTATATTTATACAGTACTTATGTACGATATGCTCAATATTTTTATTAATATTTGTGAACTATGTGCATTTACACTTGAATCACTGGGAAGAAATAAAGCAGAATGTTGCCAGTGGCTCTGAGATGAAGTTATAGAGCATGCCTATTCTGTTTTGATTTTGGTGTATGTTTCCAAAGTATTTTTTAAGAGGCCAGGGAAATGGCTCAGTAGAATAAGCAC